CTTCCCATAATATTCCTTTACGATGGTTAGTCTCAGAGTGCTTGATTGCGACGCAGTGACAATCTTATTTGCTAATGCATATGTTGATTTCGGGATCGATTTTACTAGGCGTTAACCACTTGCCGAGGCAATTCTGGTGATACTAAAAACTCATAAATGTTATCAGGAATTGTGCCAAAGAAAGGAGTTGGAGGGCTACTGGTGTCCGGTTATGAGAAGAAACTATGAATGTTCGCCTAGTGATGATTTGCATGGAACTCAAAAAATGTGGTGGGGTTATGTAGAAAGCGATGAAGTACATACTCACTGTAGTAACGACTTTTAAAGGTACTATATCAATAAAGGAATACTTTCGAGCTCTATCATTTCTTGTGCTTCTGAGTTCTTCCCTGTGCTGTTAGTGGCACACTGGTTGGCTTGTGGAGGTGCGGAGGAGAAGGCTGAGGACATCGAACGTAGACGACAGGTGAAGAGTTTATAATGTCTGAATTTCCAGAAAAAACCTGCACGACCTAATTACGTTGCAGTTTATTTTGTTCATAAAAGAACAAGCTGTAAGCAAAGTATAAGAGCAAAAATATGGTTTCAGAAATCATATACAAAATCATAAGTAACACACCAATGAAGCTTCAGAATTCAGCCCTACCGCAAAAATAGCGTACTTTAAACACTTTTTAATGTTCAAATTCAGCAGTTAACAACTCAATTCAATACTCGTACCACTGATATCTGCTGTTTAATGTAGATTCTCTTTTCCAACTAGTAACGGTGAGAAAACAGCTCTTTAAAATAAAACATTGGCTGAAATTTCTTTTTAGCATGTTTTAATCTTAATATTGAAAAATAAAGATTGATTGATTTCTGAAGTTGAAAAATGAAATTAATTTTCAAAGGAAAACCCTGAAAGCGACTTTCTCGAATCACAAAATAACACAACAAGTTTACCTCCAATAAACAGCTCATACTGCTGCTCACCAAATCCTAAGTTGTAAAACAAGCTTTGAGCACCCAACTTG